AATTCTTGTCAGAATTAATAGCTTGAAGAAGCGCAGCTAGTAAGTCTTTTGCTATGAAAGACTTTGGGACCAGCCAAAGCCAGCATTCTTTTGTAGAAGATTAGAGAAATCGCAAACAGCGGCTAAGCCGCGAGCCGCAACGCCAAGGAATGCGAGCAAAGGCGGCCCAAGGATTACAGCATGGCAAGGCCAGCCCGCATGCACAAGAGCCGAGAAGAAAAATAAAAATTAAAAAAAACAGGTTGATAATGATAAGCACGAACGAGAGCCCCAGACGCAGACGATGAAAAGAGAAGCCAGGCCGCCAAGCCCGGAAGGAGGGAGCAGAAGGAGCAGCGCCCGCACTGCCCAACAAGATGCCCGCAACAACATAGAAAAATAAAAAAAAAAAGAAATAGAAATAAAAAAAAAAAAAAAACATAAAAAATAAAACAGAAAATGCATAAAACAACCAACATAAGCAACAATCTAACAGATAAAGTACTACACTCACTCCCTAAACAACATTCTCTCAAACCCGTTCTCAACAAACTTTCCCACCAAGAAATTATGGTTGTCACAGGAGAAGTACATTTGCAGAAAGTACTTCAAAGCTGTTTTAAAATGGAGAATTCTAAAAAGCGGTTAGCTTGTCCTCTTGCTACTCAACTTAACATTAGCTAAAACAGTTGCCTTCTACCAATGGAACGCAGAAGGAAAGAGCCATCGGAACAGCACTCCCATATGCTTCAGCCAGTCGGAGTAAGCTTTAATGTTTATGCCTTTTTTGCGTTTGTACACGACCAGAATATGCTCACTCAGTCTGCGAGGTGGTTGGAGTCGGTTTTCTTTCATATGTATTCCTGGAAAGACATTGCGGCTGCAGTTAAAGGGATTTTAATATCTACGAGTACGACCAAAAGTATGTTTATTGCTTTTGGGAGAAGAGAAGCCAGTATTAGTTCGCGTATAATGATGCAGATATCGGCCCTGGATGTTGACTTCGCAGAAAGTCGCACATCAGGGTATCTAAATCGACATTTGCAGGGGGAGCTGTGTTCATGCCAATCAAGATTGCAGAAATGTGTTGCCTCTATTTCAACAACTGAGGCTGAATTCATGAGCAATTAACAGAATAGCATGCAAAGAGTTGCTGTGAATGAAGAAGTTCTTGGAATGAACTTGGGAATTCATCAGAACGATATTTGATTTTCTGCGTATAGCCAGATTGCCATTCATTCTTGGGAAAATTCCTCCTTTTCATCAAGATCAAAGCACATGATGGTTAGATATCATTTGGGATCAGCGATGTACTGCAGATGAAGCAGTTACAGCTTGAGAAGATGAAGCTGTTACAGCTTGAGAAGATCCATACAGAAGAAAATAGATTAGTCATGTTGATGAAGTTTCTTTCAAAGGAGAAGTTTGAATACTGTCGGTTAGCTTCAGGGATGATGATGGCTAACATCTCCACTTGAGTGTGCAGGGGGAGATTTGTTGTGTCGGTGCCCACTCAAGTGGGACCCACGCAATTTGAAAAGAAAAAAAAGAGAGAAAAACGTGTTATTTGAAAAAAAAAGAAAAGTTGGCAATTCTTTTGACAAAATGGAGAGCCGTGAATGAATTATGCACGGCTCTCTCGTAACCTGCCTATAAATAGAGGCAGATGCACCTCAACAACAACACACAGCAGAAAAAAAAATTGTAGAGAGAGTGTGTCTAGTTTTAGGAAGGGTTTCCTAAAACTAGGGGAGAGAAAAATAATGAGGAAATTATTTTGGGGTGTTTTTGGGAAAGTACCACTATTTTGTATTACTCTCTTTGTAAACCTACTATTTTTTTTAATAGTGGAAGAAATATTCGAAGTTGGTTCGTGGACGTAGCCCTAAATAGTTGAGGGTGAACCACGTAAATTTCTGTGTGTCCAATTTCTATTTTTCCGCTGCCGTATTTATTCTTGTATTTTTATCGCCGGTATCCTAATAAACTCCAGGTCCTAGCTCAGAGTCAGGTTCAAGTTCTAAGCTTTCAGGATTAAAAAGGCAAGTGCCAACAACAAACAGCCTTGAATTGTTACCAGCTTCACTGCCACACGATCTTGAGAACCGGATGGATAATCTTTTCTGCAAGGTTTGGAAGTGCCCTGTTCAGGTTACATTAATTACAAGCAGCACATAAAGGTAAAAAACACAAGTCAAACCTGCGGGAACTGAAATTTGGCGAGCAAGACCTAGGCTTGGCCACGGTTCCGGAACCTGCGGTTCCGGTTCCAAATTTTCTGGAACCGGAACCGAACCGAAAAGGTCCGGTTCCGGTTCCGGTTTGGAACCGTCCGGTTCCGGTTCTGGTTAATGAAAGAAAGCGGATCAACAAAAATAGAGACTGTTCTTCTATCAACATCATTTTATTTTTTCCGGTCATCATTTATTTTTTCCAATCATCATTTTATTAACTTTATTTTTATTTATTTTTATCCAGTCAACTCTTTTACTCTACGTGGATTATGGTGTTATTATTCAGTCCACATCATCGCGCTTGTATTTCATCTCTTTTTTACATTTTGATAAAATGCAGGGTTATTAAAAAATTTGATAATACACTGCCTCGATAGAGCCCATAAAGTTCAAGACCACCGGCAGAAACCACAGTAGTTCACAGGAAAATTATGCATGAGGCCCAAATTGAACTCATCCGGTAAGAGCATATTGATGCATAGAGCTATGACACCATAAGCAGCTCCAGCACATTCAATGCAATTGTAGTCAATATTCTAGCACCAAGCCGTGTTTTGTCTGCACATCAACCTACCGCTAAATCAAGAAATATAATCGACAATATTACACCCCACTGCCACATACAGTAGGATTTCTATATTGCTTGAGAGAATGGTTGCCCAAGCGATCACACTAGATGATACAGTAAGATTTCTGCGATTGCGCAGTGCATCCACCCCTACAGATGGACCATCTTGGATTTGTGTTTGGACTTCATTATCATTAAGTGCTGGTGCTCCAGGCGTCGGTCTATTAAGCTCATATATGCTTGAATTGGGATTCATTTGATAAACCTCATTATATTCACGATCACTGTTTGTGTCTTGTGAATCACTCACGTCGATTTGACCTCTGTACAATTAAAATTCATAGAGAAAAAACAAGAAAGAGCAAACAAATATTAACCAAAGAGAGAAAGGAAGAAGAAGAAGAAGGAATTGGACACAATCTTGAATAACTGCGGTGGCAGTAGAGCCAACAGTTACAGAGAGACAGAAGGATATTTCTCTCCGCTGTGTGAGCAATAAAGAGAGGGAGAGGCCCAAAAACGCAAAAGAAAGGGAGGCCTTCTTAGTAATTTTTCTAATCGGAAAAGGTTAAAAACAAAAAATGGTTAATTAATCGTTAAGAAATTGACCGATTTAAATTGGCGAAGCTTCCAAGAAACACCCTGATAAAGACGTGCCACCGAACACTTACAAATCAGGTTTTCTTTTATGCGCGTTCTCTCTCTTCTAGGAAGGTGTTTTGGAGCAAAAATTTTCTTCTCATTTTAAATACTGCAACAACTTTTTTCTTTGAAGGGAATTTTTCTTCTGTTTTGAAGTACTGCAACAAAGATGGGACGCGAATGGAAGAAGGAGATGGAGCAAAACCTGAAACCTCTCACTCCTTCTCTGCTCCCATCGCGGCCGTCTACTACCGGATTCCTCCACGCCGGCGTCATGAAATTGATTTTGTTCGGTTCTTTGGCGGCCGGTATTATTGTCAAGCTACTTCCCTACGAGTACACTGACCGCGGCGATCCAGTTCCAACCGGCATATTCAAGGGGCTTCCGGTGACAACGTTTCATGTTTTTGTAATCTCGATCATTTTTTCCTTCGCCGGGGCGTTTAGCTCGTTGCTGACTAGCGGAAGACCAAAAAATGCGAATTATGAAAAATTCTGCCGGTATTATTCGCTTGTGTTTTCGGCTTTGGCCATGTTTTTATGTTTATTGTAATCCGATCATTTTTTACCTTCGCCGGGCGTCGGTTCTTTGGCGGCCGGTATTATTGTCAAGCTACTTCCCTACGAGTACACTGACCGCGGCGATCCAGTTCCAACCGGCATATTCAAGGGGCTTCCGGTGACAACGTTTCATGTTTTTGTAATCTCGATCATTTTTTCCTTCGCCGGGGCGTTTAGCTCGTTGCTGACTAGCGGAAGACCAAAAAATGCGAATTATGAAAAATTCTGCCGGTATTATTCGCTTGTGTTTTCGGCTTTGGCCATAGCAATTCTTGTGCGGGCTGCGATAAGGTTGACTTTTCGATGGGCGCCGATTGTTGATGACTAAGGACAGATCCGAGTATTAAAGAATCAGGTGACTATGTAAGAGATAGCTATGGCGTTTGCTGTGCGTTGCTTTCTCTGATCTGCCTGGCAATGTTAAAGATGACAAACTCAATCCATGTAGGAAATAGCTATGGCTATCGCTGTGTGTTTCTTCATCTGATCTGCTTGGGCATTGGTGATCAAATCAATCAATAAACTTGCGCTTTTCGTAAAATAGGGCCTAATTTGATTTTTTTTTTTTTTAATTACTCCTATATTTTGTTATTTTCAATATAATTCAATTAGAGTTAATTTTAAGAGTTTTGCTTATAATTAAGTATTTATCTTGCACAAATCAGTGAAATTTATTTTTAGTTTTCATAATGTCAAAATTTAATCTTGAGACGGGAGTATTAATTATTATTTATTGAAAATTTTAAAATATATGATGAATGGTTAAATGGTTCATATATTTTTTTATTATTTAATAAATTCAATCAATATTACTTATTCACATGAATTATCATAGAGGATATCATGCAAAAGTGAGAAATGGTTTTAAAAATATAAATTGGCTAAATTTTTTGTACGCTTAAGGCGATTTGAAAAACATAAAACGACAAGAAAGTAGTGAAATCCATTTCCATCTGAATAATTTTCTGAATAAAATTTTTAAAATTTAAATTTCCAATAAAACTTTGAAAAATAAATGTAATTAATTATTTTCCATGTTTCTTGAATTGTATGATCCATTATTTTGTTTGTAAATCTTCACTAGAGCCCACAAAAATGTTACAATCATCTTTACAAGTTCTTCCTCAAACCCTGCCACCATAAACTGCTACAGTGAACTCTTTTCATTTGCTTATATACTTCTGCTCCATTTGATCACCTCAATCTATCATCAAAAACCCAGAAGCAGGAGAAAAAAATTTGTAAGATTTGATCGTCAAGCTTCCAATTCCTATGAAAAAACAAAAGACATAGCAAGCAAAGCAGAGGCTTTTGTCCCTTGCATTCTACAACAGGCAAGTCTATTACCAACATCCTTCACCCCACAGACAAACAATGTAAATCTTTATAAAAGTGGAGCATCTGCTGATTATATTCTAGACCAGAAGTAAGAAAGTATGTAAACATGAATCAGAACACTTTTTTCCTCAAAATAATAATGATAACAGCATAATTACTAGATGCACAAAAATAACCAAATTAAGACCAATGGCTGTGAATACCAATTTCTATCCCACACAAGCAAGCAATAAGCACTGCTTTGTTGTAATTCTCATTAAGCAATGACCAAGCATTGCTGGACACACATAAAATTGCTTAAAAAGAAACCAATGATCAGCATACCCATTGTCAACTTGTAGTCTCGGGGCTGTTGTCGCAGTCATGAAATACTGTCCGTCTGGAGACCACTCAGTAGTCACAGAACATTCTGTGGTAGTTGTTCCAAGTTGTTTTTATGTTTGTATAGTCCCAAAATGCTTAAGCATAATTACACAAAACATGTTTGCATAGTCCCAAAATTCCTAAGCATAATTAAACACAAAACAAGGTATAAGTAAGAACTCAACCATTTGGCAGTCACAAGCAGAAAGTTAACTCAGTATATAGGATTGAATGGTAACAGTTTCTCTGCTTAATTCTTTTTATCGTCTGTGAGAGAAGGGCATCAAGTTACCGCTACAGAGCACAATAAAAGCAGCAGATATAAGCAAGCAGCATTTTAATGAGAAAGTATCCTTACAACTGAAGCATCAACCCTCAAGACAGCATCTGAATTTGAAGCAAATTGAAAATTAACAGCTTTTCTTTTTCTTTTTTTTGCATGTAGAAGAAGGGTGTTAAGTTACAACTAAGTTGCAAAAAAAATCATTTAAAAAAAAAAGAATGGTACAAGCCAAAAACAGCATTTTAATGAGAAATAAGTCGGTGGATAATGCATAGAAGTCTCAAATTAATATGTTGATTTGATGAACCAGGGCAGCGCTAAAATGTGATTTCCTTCTATACGATGACAAGGGATGTCAACAGAGGAAATAAGTGTAACTTCCTATTTCCAAATGAAGATATTATAGACAAGAAGAACAACAGAGAATGAGCATCCTAAACTTAAATGCCATATCACCATGTAAGTTACCAAAGCCAGCCAAGCACAGAACTGTGAACAGAAGAATTAAGATTGCAAAATATAAGATCAAAAGAATGGTCAATTAGCTGCTTCAATTTAATCAAATTATACAAAATTAACGTAAAGTAAACGGCAAAAGTTATTGCTTCAAGGATACATGTCCCTTTTCGGTTCCATCCAACAGTATCGTAAGGGCCTGTTCCAAGCTCCAATAGAGGACTGCAGTTCTTGTCAAACGATGTCGCACTTGCAGGCACAACTGAAATTAGATCAAGGGAAGCACAAATTATGAATTGCTACCAAAGAATGTTTGTGAATAAACAAATATCCTAATTTTTCTTTAAGTTGTGAAATAACCTGTAAAAGAAGCACTCATATTGATTTCCAGACTCAAGGAAATCAAAAGTTTTGTGATATAATCCACAGAAACAACATATTAATTCTTAAGCATCATAGTGAATCCAGAGACTTGAATCACATGATACATGTTCATGACAATAGGATCCACCAGTGAAGACTCAAGGAAATCAAAAGTTTTGTGATATAATCCACAGAAACAACATATTAATTCTTAAGCATCATAGTGAATCCAGAGACTTGAATCACATGATACATGTTCATGACAATAGGATCCACCAGTGAAAAACTCCATTTCTCAGAATGCAAGTACAAGTAGTCCTCGCCATCACCAAATGAAATTGTCCCTTTGGACAAGAAGCTTCTCACCTAAAGTTTTTCGCACTTTTCCAATCAAAAGGTTTGGAAAACAATTTTAGATATTATAACATCAATATCAACCACTTTTGCTATTTCAAGCCAACCATATTTTCCCAGGTCCCATGGACAGATATTCTCTCTAGATGCCCTCAAGCGCTCAACTTACCCAGCAGCTATGACTTGCATCCAACAGTAAAAATTTTTTGCAGAACTTCTGTTAAACTGCATCTGTGCAAAATACATGCCAACAAATACATGCAACAAATTGTATGTAGTGTACATACATAGACATATATAAATACACAGATGCAGAGAGAGAAGGATACATCCATAAACAACAGAAAAATGTGAACCAGAATATGACCACTGGACATCATGAATGGGTCCCTCCTTGCCTGTCAATAAATCCAACAGTCAGAAGCTGCCTGTAATCAGAATAAGTCAACAGTTGAGCCAGAACACATGAAGAGATACGAGCCTTTCATGGGTTCCAGTCAACAGTTGAGCCAGAACACATGAAGAGAGATACGAGCCTTTCCATGGGTTCCCATCAGGTGTGTAATCGGTAGTTTCCAGCTTAGACTCCCCTATTATTAATTTTTGACTTGTCTTGTTCACATCTTGGACGCGCCACAACCATAAGGCCCAGTGAACAACTGATCCTTATTCCCAATTGCCGCTGTAGAACATCAAAAAAAAATGCTTCATCGGAGCAACAGGCCTGACTTTGCATTCTCTTCCTGCAGGCAAATATACTGAACCGCTGGCTGGACTTTCCCTTATACAAATTAAAAAGTGCATCCCTATACAATTAAAAAGTGATCTTATGTATCACAATGAAAATTACAATCAGTACAAAAAGGTGGAGATTATCAGTTAAATTTTGTGTTCTAGCTGTGAAAGAAGTAAATCATTTAGCTAATTAAAGTGAGCCACATGTAGGATTCGCCAAGGCCTCACATATGTTGACAATTTCATCATGTGAAACTTATTATAATAATCCAAGAAAATCAATTGAATCCCTAACTTCCTAAACTCAAACAATTGTAGACCATGAATTCCTAAATTCAAACAATTGTAGATCATGAACTATCGGATCAAAATTCCCAGAATTTTGAAGTGTGAACCAAACGTGGACCTGTTTGCAGACGAATTCAAGTTATTTAGCTAAAGTTTTAGCTAATAGACTGGAATTCTGTTATTTTTTTGTAACTTTAGCTAGATTCATTTAAGAGGGAATGTTTTTTCTGTTGTATAACACAATGCTTTTTCATATGATATCATTACACACACACACACACAGAGATATATGATATAAAAAAAAAAAAAAAACTTTTATTGCATAGAAGCCAACAGACAATTAAGGCAATTGTCAACCAGAAGACCATCCGCTACAACCCAATACAAAAACCTATCATATCAAGGTGCTCCAAATCTGCTAACAACCAATTAAGGCAATTGTATTATGTCAATTCAGTCTCTGAGGAAAAGGCATAACAACCATATTAAGGCAATTGATTTGACAAAAAGAAAACCTGAGAAACCCTGTTCTGCCAACAGCAATTAAGGCAACTGTCAGCAAGTAAGACCACAAACGACACAGCTTTAATATTACAAGGGAAAAACCTATCATTTCAGGGCTGCTCTAAATCTTTTTTCTGCCTAACACACCAATTAAGGCAATTTGTCGGGCTCAAAGTAGCCTCTATCATGTTAATCCCTGCTAACTCAACCAATGAACGGCATTATCTATACGATATCAAACAAGAGCATCTGCTAGACAACCACATTTATGGCAATTGTCGGTACAAGTAAGAGATTACTGTAGTTACAGGAATCCCGCTAACAACTAATGAAGGCAACATTGAGTTCCCGGCGAAAGAAGAGCATCTTGCTTTAACAAACCATTAATGCAAATTCTCCGGTGGAGAAGCAGCATCTGGAGTTACAGAATCTGCTGGACAACCAAATGAGGGCAAATTGTCGGCAAGAAGAGCATCTGCTAACAACCAATCAATGCAATTGTGCGAGAAGTGAGCCCATTCTGGAGTTACAAAATCACTAATCTGCTAACAACCAATTATGGCAATTGTCGGAAAGAAGAGCATCTGTAGTTACAGAATCCGCTAACAACTAATGAAGGCAATTGTCGGCAAGAAGAGCATCTGCTAACAACCAATTAAGGCAATTCTCAGGGAGAAGAGCATCTGGAGTTACAGAATCCGCTGACAACCAATGAAGGCAATTGTCGGCAAGAAGAGCATCTGCTAACAACCAATCAAGGCAATTGTTGGCGAGAAGAGCATCTGGAGTTACAAAATCCACTAACAACCAACGAAGGCAATTGTCAGCAAGGCTAACAACCAATTAAGGCAATTGTTGGCAAGAAGAGCATCTGCTGACAACCAATTGAGGCAATTGTCGGCGGAAGAGCATCTGCTAACAACCAATTAAGGCAATTGTCGGCAAGATTAATAACCAACTAAACCCTTAGAAAAGGGTAGTAGCAAATTTCCAAAGTAACAAAGCTGACCCGCACATTTTGCACCATTAAACCTTCAGCAAAGAGTATAAGCAAATTGCACAAGCAACAAGGCTGACCCACAAGTTTAGCGGATCATCCAAGAACATACTCATGGATGTTATAAAACCAACAGCAGCTCCAGCAAATGCAAGTCTAGTCAATATCCAACTAGCAAGCCCTGTGTCTTGTCTGGACATCAAGGTACGGATAAATGCAGAACCAAAGCCAACAATAATACTCAATGCTGAGACGACTAGTAGAATTTTTCGATTTTGTGATAGATCTTCACCATGCCAACCTGTTAACAAACTGCCAGATACATTGGCAGAAGCAAGATTCATACTTTTCAAATCTATCCCAGTCTCGTTAAGTATTGCTAGTAGTCCATCGGGAGCCACTGGAGTCACTGGAGTTCTAGAGCCATGGCCATTATTTTCAATGGCAAAGGTACTAGATGTCAACTCAGCCTGATGGGCTACTACAGACAATCTCTCCTCATCTCCAGGCAATCCTATTGCTATGGCAGAAGCATCTTGAGAATTGCCCTGCTCATCAATCTGCACAAAAACAGCATCAAATGGTAGTCAGATTTGCCAATTGATGAAAAACTGAGGTATGGCATTCTGTAACCAAAATAAAAGTAGGACTCTCAGACCACTAAGTCAACCATCAAAAAGAGGACATTTTGTTTTCCAAAACTGAACCAAAAATCTTTGCAAGCTTCTTGTTTTTTATTAATATTGTCCTTTGCATCGAATGAACTGGAATTAAATATGGGTTTTGAGTGTGCATTATAAAAGCTACAGACAGAAGAAAAAATTGACTTTGATCTCGTTCATGGAAAATAAAATCATGAAGTAATGAAAAAGAAAAGCAAATAAGTATTAAAATCATAAAAATAGTCTAATTCAGATCGCGTACCAGTATAATTTCATCATGAGATGCTTGGTTGCCGCTCATGATGCTGTCCATGAAGAAATGGAGAAGATAAGAAAAAGGCTTAAATTTCTTTGCGATGATCTAGTAAAGTTGATCGAAAAATTCAAGTCATCAATAACTGGAAGAAACCAAGAAATAAACCCTCAAGTGCGAAATTATAGAAGATCCCCTTTAAGATTAAACAATTCCATTGAGTTGTATGAGTGATAGCATCTACTATACCAGGAATATCAATGAACCTTAAGATACCCATTTTTTTTTTTTTTTTAGCTTCTAGAATCTATTATCTTAGTTCTAGATCCCTTTTACTAACTGGAATGAAAAAATTAATAGATCTGTCTAAAGTAAAAAATTTTCCATACCTGCTTGAGCTTGGATTCAAACTAGAAACCTCCTCCTCATATCCACCAAGACTGATAACATGTGAACCGCTCATGTTGATTTAACCTCTGCACAATTAAATTTGTGAAAAAAATCTAAGCTATCACCAAAATGAACAGCTAAATATTAACCGGAGAGACAAAAGAAGAAGAAGGAGACTGTTGAAATACCTGCTGTGACCGGGGATCTCTCCGCCGTGAGAACAAGAAAAGAAAGTTAAAGAACAATCAAAATTAAATAGTCTTTGAAGAAGAGAGTGAAGGTTATTAGTAATTTAAGTTAAATTAAAAAATATTAAATTAATCGTGCTGTTAATGAAGTTTAATTAGTCGTTAAGAAATTGACATAGTCAAAATCGAAGAAACTTCCTTGCCAGAAACGCCGTGAAAAGGACGTGTAAGCTAATACTGTACCAGTATAAACTTTTCTTTTTCCACCTTCTCTCCTTTTTTATGGAGTTCAAATTTTTCTTTCGAACCGAAAATTTCCTTCCTTTTCAAATACTGCAATAAAATGAGACATGAGCGGAAAAAGAAGATCCAGCAGAACCTGAAAACTCTCCATCCTTCTGTACGCCCGTCGCCGCTGTCTACAACCGGAGTCCTCCACGCCGGCGTCATGAAATTGATTTTGGTCAGTTCTTTTGCGGCTGGTTTATTGTCAAGCTACTTTCCTCCGAATACAGGAACGGCAGCGATCCATTTCGAAACGTCATATTGCCGTTAAAGAATTAGTTTTTGAAAAACAGTGCAAAGTAAAAAGGAAAGAAAGAAAGAAACGAAGAGAATGTCAATGGCTTGATTGATGATGGGTGATTACGTCTCGTTTTGACCACGTGCGGTCCACGCATTTACTCCAGCTCAACAAATATGCTACTCATTTTTTTTTTTTTTTTTTTTTAACAAATATGCACTCATTTTTTTTTTTTTTTTTTTTTTTGGCTTTATGGAGCTTTTAGGTCCAAAAAAAAATTACAATACTAACAACTTTTTTTTTTAAAATTCATAGTATGATTCATTATGATTAAATAAATTGAAATCAATGAGTCAACCGTTAAAGTTTTTTTTTTTTTTTTTTTGGCTTTATGGAGCTTTTAGGCCAAAAAAAAATTAAATACTAAACTTTTTTTTTTTAAATTCATAGTATGATGCATATGATTAAATTGAATCAATGAGTCAAACCGTTAAAGAAAATCGAATCAACTTGGTAGCTGTTTGTGGAAAAACGAAGTCTCAAATACACTATATTTAAATATTAAAACAAATAATAAAAAAAAGTTGTATAAAATATAAAAGTTAAAGATAGAATATCAAACACTAATTAAACTTTAATTAATCTAGTTAAATTCTACAATATATAAGGACCCCAATATGATTTTTTTTTCCCTTATATTATTTGTTGTTATCAGCGAATTTGCAATATAAAATAATTATATATTAATTTAATTATGAAAATTTTCATACTGCAAAACAACCAAGTTTATTTTAAATATATGAGAGCAAGTTAATTTAATAACTATCATTAATACAATTGTTAAAGGCAAATATCTTAGATTTACTTTTATATCTTAAAATATACTATCATAATAGATTAGATTTATATTTACAGTCGAAAAGTTTGAAATTATTGAATTTTGAAATCGATTTTTCATAAAATGAAATTTTAAATTTTAAAAAATATTCGAAAAGGAATAATTTGAAAAAAAAAAACAATAATTCATCATATCGATTGATAAAAATAATAATTCATTGTATCAATTGATAATAAGTTTCATACTTTTTTTTTTTATCATTTGCTCTTTCTTGAATTGTATGATTGTGTTTTATACAAGAGAATATGATTATGGCATCTTGTTTGTCAATCTTCATTAGAGAGATTATCTTAATCCGAATACATACAAGAGAATTGTATGATTGTGTTTTATATTTTTTTTATCCTAAATACAAGAGAATAAGATAGATCATCTTGTTCGGAAATTTTCATTAGAAACTAAAAAAAATGCTACAATCTGTGTCAAAAGTTTTCCCCCACACATTGTCATCTTTGAGTTGAATCTTAATCCAAATATATAAATTTATAGTCATTGTCACAAAAAATTACAGCATCTTAAACTTTGTAAAACACCTATTATATTTTCTAAATTAAAAATTTTAATAATATCACACACCTCTAAGCATGAGTAACAGTTTTTAAGATTTTAACTTTTACATGCATGAAGCCTATTTTATCTTGTTTACTTGATTTAATTTACAAATTGAAGTATTTAATACAATAATTTTATAAGTTGAAGTGTTGAATAAGTCTAAGTTGAAATTGTCGTAAAATTTCTCCCTATAAATTCAGGGATGAATCTATACATTTGACTTGCACCTTTGCCATATCATGGAGGCGCCTTTTATACGCTAACGTACTTTTGCTTTATTTGATAACCTCACATTCTATCATCAAATGCCACAAGAAAAATAATTCTACCACAAGATTCAGGGCAAGCTTATGGTGAAATGCACCAGATCCTCTTTAGTGCAGCTGGAACCTAATATAGTACATTTGCATCCGATCGGGAACCCTTAGCTGTTGCTGCTATGGCAGAAAGGACGGCAGCAATAGTGGCAGCAGCGGCAGCTCCAGCAGCTATGGCAGTAGTGTCAGCTGCAGCTGCAGGCTTTCCTTTTGTTGCCGCTAATATAGCACCTATATCTAACTTTGTTTCCTCCTCTTCTCCTTGTTTCTCTTGTTTCTCTTTCTCTGTGTCAGCAGCAGCAACTGCCGCTGCAAGCTTTCCTTTTGTTGCTGCCTTTTGTTGCTGCCTTTTCTTTTGTTTCACCCTCTTCTCCTTGTCTCTCTTTCTTTGTGCCTCGCTCTTTTGCCTAGGTTAATGGCATACATAAATCAGCATTTTAACGTCGAGAAAATCCGAAAGTAAACAGAACATGCAAAGAGAATCTGTACTTACTTTGTAGTGCTCCCTCCAACCAACTGCAATTGCAAAATATTAAAATCAGTAAGGCAACTAACTGAATTCAGTTCAACAGCATAAACCTGTACTTAATACCACAACATGTTCATTTCAAAGAGTAACTATACAATTCCTACTAAAATAAAATGGCATATTAAGCAAAGCAAAACTGATTTTCTGACAGATGATTTCCCCAGCTACTAAATAGGAAGGCAAAGTTTTCATTTAGCAGTTATTGGAGGAACAACCCGCCAGTAAATGTTTCAGATATTCATTCACACATCTCATCTTCAAACTGTGATTGGGAATGGATGGAGGGGTCATTATGGGAATAGAGAGAACTAGCTCCACTGTGTGAAAACTTCTGTAAATGTGTAAAGTAAGGATGTCATGCAGCTGGCAGTGTATCGAATGGAGCAGCAAATAAATAGCTTATATTCTTAATTTCCATTACGCCAAAAAAACTAAAACTAGCAAATTTTTAAAAGCAAAACCAGCAATGAGCAATTCAGTCGCCTTCCTCAACACAATGCAAACTATCTTACACACTATCAAGCAGTACGTTCAGTCATTCTTAACTTCTAAACTTCTAAACAGTACCTTTGCCCGAGCAGCTGCATTTTCATCATGTGGTGGGTGATTGGCTGCAGATTTGACAGCAGGAGGGTTCGCAGGAGCAGTTCTCCCAGAAGTTGCCTCTTGCTCTGATAAAAATTAAGAATGTTTAAGAAACCAAAGATTTATGCACAAAGCCTTCTAGAAATTAATCAAGTTTTGTACTAAGTGAAGTATAGAACCTTGTGGTTTGCTTTCTTCAACCTTCAATGATTCTGGTTTCCACTTGGCCTGCATCATCTGATTTGCAACAGATGATTTCCCCTGCTATAAAATTGGTATGCAAAGTTTTCATTAAGCAGTTATCAGAGGGACAACCCACCAGTAAATGTTTGAGATATCCATTCGCACAGTCTCATGTTCAAACCGTGTCGGGTGGGGTCTGTTGGGTGAAACATGCTTCAACCCAAGACATAAACAAAGACATTCCACTTGGCCTGCATTCATCTGATTTGTAAACATGATGATTTTCCCCTGCCTATAAAATTGGTATGCAAAGTTTCATTAATGCAGTTATCGAGACGGGGACAATCCCACCAGTAAATGTTTGCAGATAGAGATATCCATTCGCACAGTCTCATGTTCAAACCGTGTCGGGTGGGGTCTGTTGGGTGAAACATGCTTCAACCCAAGACATAAACAAAGACAAGGATAATCTTTCTAAATGAAAACACTAGTGAGAACTAGCCACACAGTTTGCAAATTTCTGTTAAGTGTGCAAAGAAAGGATGACATGCAGCTGGAAGTGCTTCAAATGGAGCACCACAATAAATAGCTTATATTCCTAATTTCCATTATTCAAAACAAACTGAAACTAGCAAATTCTTAACAGCAGAACGAGCAATGAACAATTCAGTCACCCTCCTCAACACAAAGTGAATCATCTTATATTCTGTCAAACAGTATGTTTGGTCATTTCTTATCCTGATCCATGATTCTAACAAACAAACTTCTAAATTAAAAAGCTGAGTAGTTCTTTTATACCTTTGCCAGCACAGCCGCTACATTTTCAGCACGTGGTGGACGATTGGCCACAGGTTTCTCAGCAAGAGGGTTGGCAGGAGCAGTTTTCCCAGAGGTTGCCTCTTGCCCTGATACGAATTAAGAATATTTAAGGAACCGAAGATTTATGTGCAAAGCTTTCTAGAAATTAATGCTTTCCTAGACAATTAATCAAGTTTTGTACTTGAACAACAAACGGGATAGAAACACTGTGGTTTGCTTTTCCTTCAACCTTTAATGAATCAAACCGGCACTTCGATAAGTTCATCGGAATTATCACGCAGGATCTAACCTGGTGAGTCTGGTTAGTGCCAGCTTAGAGCCTAGGCGTACAAATCTAGATGTATCGAGTACAGTTGGTGATTTACGGCGCATGCTGACAACACATGTAGAGGTATGCGGCAAAAGTTGGATTTAAGACAAAATGATAAGTCAAGAGAGGAGCACGCACCGAGTGGCAAAACTAAATTGAGACTATCCATTCACAGCTTCTACACAGCCGAAACTGTGTTGAGGAGGGCTTGGGCTTGGTGTGCTCCATGTGGGGGAAGCATTATGGAGAATACAGAGATGAATCTCTAGCCAGGCCATGTGTTAAGGGCTCTCAGTAAGTTGCTGCAAAGAGAAGGTGAACAAGCAGGGGCTGGAGAAAGTGCTCGCAAAATAGTGAGCGATACACAATAACATAGCTTAATATATCCTAATTTCCAATGTATTGCCCATAAAGCAAACAGAAAACTAGGCACAATATTATTAACAGCAGAACAAGGCAATGAACAATTTCAGTCACCGCCTCGTCTCAGGAGGCACAGAAGTGAATCATATACTTTAATACACTGAGTTGAAACAGCAATGTTTGGTCATTCTTATCCTGATCACCATGAATTCTAGGATATCAATACAAGGATGATATATGGGGCAGCAGCAGCAGCTGCAAATATTTCAGGCATCGCTCGGTGGACGATTGGGCTGCCAGGTTTGCTCAGGCAAAGAGGGTTGCAGGAGCAGTTTTTCGCCGAGGTGCCTGTTGCCGCTGATAGCGAGAATTAAAGATATGATTAAGGAGAAACCAAAAATTTATGTGCAAAGCGCTTTCTAGAAAATTATATCAAGTTTTGTAACTAACGTATGGATAGAAGCCTTGTGGTTGCTTACATTACAAAAATGCGCTTAAATGCAATCTAATCCGACTTCATAAGTTCAGGGAAATTTTTCAGCTAGATCTTAACGCGTGGTGATCTCTCGGTTTCGCGCTTAGCCTTGTCATCTGAATTTGCGCGACAGATGACTTCCCCTGCTACAAAATGATGATGCAAAAAGTTTGTTTTCATTAAGCAGTTATCAGAGGGACACCACCAGTAAATGTTTAAGATATCCATTCACACGTCTCGTGTTCAAACCGTGTTTGAGGCAGCAGGTTGGGGTTGGTTGGGGGAAGCATTATGGGAATAGAGAGAACTAGCCGCACTGTGTAAGGGCTTCTGTAAGTGTGCAAAGAAAGGATGACATGCAGCTGGAAGTGCTTCAAATGGAGCACCACAATAAATAGCTTATATTCCTAATTTCTGTTATTCAAAACAAACTGAAACTAGCAAATTTTTTACAGCAGAACGAGCAATGAACAATTCAGTCACCCTCCTCAACACAAAGTGAACCATCTTATACACTGTCAAACAGTATGTTTGGCCATTCTTATCTGGATCCATGATTCTAATAAACAAACCTCTAAATTGAAAAAATTAGTAGTTCTTTTATACCTCTGCCCGAACAGCAGCTGCATTTTCAGCATAATTAGTAAGTTCTTTCATACCGCCCTGCCGCGAACAGCAGCTGGCATTTTCCATCCATGTGCCGGTGGGCCCGCGATTTGGGCTGCAGGTTTGAAAACCACATATTCCATGAAGCGTTAGATATAAAAAATACTCACACGTCTAGTTGTTGCAAAAACGGCGTGTTTGAGGGCAACAGGGTGGGGTTGGTTGGGGGAAGCATTATGGGAAGCAGAGAGAACTGAGCCGCACTGTGTAAGGGCTTCCGCCGCACTGTGTAAGGGCTTCCGTAAGTGTGCAAAGAAAGGATGACATGCAGCTGGAAGTGATTCAAATGCAGCACCATAATAAATAGCTTATATCCCTAATTTCTGTTATTCAAAACAAACTGAAACTAGCAAATTTTTTACAGCAGAATGAGCAACGAACAATTCAGTCACCCTCCTCAACACAAAGTGAACCATCTTATACACTGCAAACAGTATGTTTGGTTATTCTTATCCTGATCCATGATTCTAATAAACAAACTTCTAAATTGAAAAGATTAGTGGTTCTCTTATACCTCTGCCTGAACAGCAGCTGCATTTTCAGCATGTGGTGGGCGATTGGCTGCAGGTTTCTGAGCCGGAGGATTTGGACAAGCAGTTTTTCTGGAGGTTGCTCCTTGTCCTGACAAAAATTTGGGATGTTTAAGGAAAAAAGATTGATGTGCAGAGCTTTCTAGAAATTAATCAAATTCTGTATTAAAAAAAGGATAGAACCTTGTGGTTTGCTTTCTTCAATCTTCAATGAATCAGCGGACTTCATAAGTCCAGCAATCTTCAATGAATCAGCGGACTTCATAAGTCCAGCAATTTCACCAGATCCACTGGATGATTCTGCTTTCCAGCTTGTCTGCATACAACCAAAAGGATGAACAAGACAAACTTATAAAAGATCACAGCAAGATATCCATAAGATGCAAATTGTTGCTTTATTTACACTCACTCAACCAATGGCTACCACAAATTAGATTAGCAATAAAAAGGACAGACTTTAAATTTTCATGAAACTCCTATAAGAGAGTAGATAAAATAAATTTTGGAAACCTTTAGCATTCGATATCAATTTCTTAGTGTGGTTTCCTTATCATTATCACTGGTAATACAACATAGAAATACAGAACAAACAGAAGAAGATGCTAAGGTATTGCTATTAATGATGGGTACATCCAAATCACTCTCTCTTCATATGCCCAATTATTGCCGAGTTCTAAAGAATAAAGCTTTTTTATCTTTTTTTGTTCTCTAATAAATCTGTCCTCCTTCAATCACACTTGTTTCTGTTAATCAAGCGATGCATTTGATGCAATACAAAAGTAACTAACAATTAGATTACATGGATTTAGGGTGACCAATTGCATGAATATACACAAATAAGCATTTATAATTTAGTTGCTTTATAAATTTAAGTTATAGATGCGGAAGCAGATAATAAAAACAGTAAATTGAATATTACAAATTAAGTAAGAGAATAATTGAAGATAAATAACCTGCAGAAACCTAATTTTTATTAGCTGCAGAAACCTAATTTTTATTAGACTCATGAAAAATATATCTATTATTTCGTATTAGGTTGGACATGGCAGTTGATGAAAGAAAAAAAGCCTGTAAAGCCTAGTATATATTATAAATATGTATATATATATGCTATTGCTTATATATACTCTATGTGTGTTGTTGTGTGTGTGTGTTGTGCCTGTGTGGCTGTTTGAGTCCTAAAATTACCATAACAGTAACCATATTATATATAAATTAATCGTAATTTATGAAAAAGGCAAAACAAACATGTAAATAACATAAAATAATCTAATTATGAAAAAGCAAAACAAAATAGGAACTCTGTGCTAAAAGAAATTAAAATGAAATTACCATTTGCAGTCTGTGACTGGAACAACAACCAAGGAACGAAACTATGAAAGTGAACAGTTAAGTGAAGGAGAGTGACTATGAGACTGAGTGAGACTGAGAAGAAATGAGAAGCCTTTACTATCAAAAGCATTTAGAATTTCTAATCAAAGATTTCTCTATTGCTCATCCATACAGATTATTATAGTCTTCATTTAATAAAATCCATTATCAATGAAACCAGTGCATCAAATTCAATCATCAACTACCCAAACACAACCCAAAAACAAATGTATCAAATGGAGGTGCAAATGAGGGACGATTTTTATATGTTTTGGCAAGAAAATTATCTAAGCATAACTATCTAATCCCCTGTAGTTTTTTATCTTTTCTCTAAATCAGGAGTAATAGATAGCAGAATAATGCTTATCATAACATAACATAACAGCAATTTACTGTTTCAGAACTTTCTCGACAATCAAAAGGATAAAAGAAAAAGAGATCACTGAATTGACAGAAACCTGATAAGCAGTTGTATAGGGAACGCTTACTGTGGCTGACTTTATAGTAGAGATGTTTTGTGATAACCTCAAATTATACAACTGTGGCTGTGATTGAAGCCTAGAATTCTCACTGGAAAAGGAGGATGCAGATGATGGTGCTATTCCTCCACAGTCAACCCCTGGGTCAGAACCTTGAATCCAGATTCCTCCACACATATTGCAATAGTATTTAGCTTGTAAATTGACGGGATCCCAGTATTCAAACAAATGAATTTCGCAGAGAGAGCATCCTACCTCCACCTGCATTTGATTCACAACCACCGGCTTCAGTCTCGGGTTTTGATTGTTACTGCATTTGATTTACAACCACCGTCTGCTATTCACGTTTTTTCTTTTTTTTTTAATAAGTAAAATGAAAAGAAAATATCTTCAAATTATACAATAAAAAATTACGCAAAAATGAAATAATTGAGACATATTAGTATAAGATTGATATACAAATTGAAAACCAAAGAATTCATCATTCATTAGTTTCTCATAAATCAAACACAAAGAAACTTCAAAAAATTGCACAGCAAGATCTAAGACAAAAAAATATAATTAAAAAAAAAAAAAAAAAAAAAAGCAAGGAGATACTGCACAATTAATAGTCTAAACAAAATATATATAATAAAAAAGGAAGCAAGGAGAAATGGAGAATCATAAACCAAACACATTAAACATTAAAATTTAAAAATTTGCACAGCGCGATCTTTAAAAAAAAAAAAAAAGCAAGCAATCAGAAACTGCAGAATTAATAGTCTAAACAAAAGAAAAAACAAGAAGAAACTACAGAAATAATAGTTACAGGAAAGGAAAAGGGCTGCCACAGCTCCGAGATCCAAATATTTGGAATTGATTCGTGCTAAAAATGGGCTCTTTGCCACAGCTCCAATATCCAAACTACTTTGGAGATGAATTCGTGCTGCCCTGCTAATCTAATGAAATCATTTTTTGTCTGTGTCATCTGGCGTTTTTTGTCTCTGTACACTAGTAGTCAGTTCTTAAAATCCAGAATGAAGATCTTTCTTCCCTTTCATCTCTATTGATATACAATTTTCCCGTCTTTATCTTCACTCTCCCTTTCGTGGTCTGTGTAAATCACATTTTTATTTTTCTTATATTCCAACAGGGCGACACTCACCGATAACCACTTTTACTCTCTCTAGTCCTTATTAGAAAGTGCGAGAAATAACCACAAGTGGATTATTGCCCCTTTTTTTTTCCTTTATAAAAAGATTGATTACTTTTACTTTTTATTAGAAAACGCGGGTAGCAACACTGACACCACCTTCATTTATTTTCTTTTGAATAAAAGAGCATATGACACGATATACAGAGGGAAACAGTGGACTAACAACATTAGAATTTCTACAGTTAAACAAATTTCTTTAACTATTGCATCCATGGCGGCTATAAATCAATTAATACATCTTCATTTAATAACACATCTAACTTACACCAATAAAAACACCTGAGCACATCATAAATTCAATCCCCAACTTTACCAAACACAATAACCAAAAAGTTAATGTATGCAAAATGGTACGAACACAACAAGAGCGGTTGACATTATAGTAGTGTTCAAAAATTAATGTATCAAATGGACGAACAAAAGAGGGTTGACATTTATATGTTCTGGTAAAAATTATTGAAGCATAACTAACCAAATTTCCCTGTAGCTTTTCATCTTTCTCTAAATCAGCAGTAATTGATGTGTGAATAAACTACACACATGTAGAGCTTATTTTGTTTACACTTTTATCTTTATTTTTATAGTTTTCATATCGTTTTCATATGTTTTTAGTTCCGTTGTTAATCTATCTTACTTTTGGTTGTTTTTGATGTATTTAGGTTCTTATTGAAGCCTTGGATTAAATGTTTTGAAAGTGCAAAGCATAGAGCAAAGGTTGGAGTAAGAAAAGCTTTGAAAGGTAGCTTCAACAAAATTTCAGCGTTGACATCTCTCCACTATTTTGCAATATCATGAGCTACAGATGGAATTTTTGAGTGATTCAAGTTCGATTAAAAACTAGATTCAAACGTTTCTGGCAGTATATTATATGACCAATTTGATTGAGTATTGACGCTATAGAGCATTTTCAACTCAGTATACTGATGCCGAATTGCAGAAAAAGCTTGGAAAACTTCATTAGAATGAATAACAGCCCAGGCTGTTAGTTTATTAGCAGTCGTTCAGCCCAGGCTGTTAGTTTATTAGCAGTCGTTGGCCAATTAATGATAAATTGGAGAAAAGAGACAGAATCAAGAGAAGAACAAAAGGCCTGGGCCATACGGGCGTTAGTTTTGAGCAAAAGCTCAGCAGATTTCCTGATTCGAGGAGTTGTCCTCTGTTTACTATTTTGGGCATAAATTCCTCTACGTATGTTGGATTGAGGTGATTCAAAATGCTATAGAAAGCTAAAACATAGGGCTACAGCTTTCCTGAAGACTTTAACTTCCATTTCAATCATCTTATGGTACAAAATTGGCTCATAATTCTCAGGGCTCTACATTAGGCAGTTTTGAAGTTGGAATCCTTATGGGATTCGGATTGCTCTTTGCTTCTATAAGAGGAGGGGACTTGACCAGCTGTTAGGAGGACAAATTTAGAGAGGAATTCAAAGGCTTTTCTCATAAAAACCAAGCCACCAAAAAGAGATTAGGAAGGAGATCGAAGATTCAAATCTTGAACGAGATTGAAGGGACTACAACTCAAGCTTGAAGATTTAGAAGACCAAAGACAAATCTATTATCTTCTTTAATTCTTGAGTATTATTTTGTTTATTGAATTCATGATTTGCTTTGTTTCTTTAAACTCTTGTACTTATTTGATAAATATCATGGATTAGTTTTCTCTCTTCAAGGTTAGGTTGTAAATCAACACTATTATAATTGTAATGTAGATTTTTATCCTAATTAATGATAGCTTATGTCTTTTGATTAATTAATGCTAGTTTACGTCTTTTGATTCAATTATTATTCTGTTTATTGCTTGTGATTATGTTGACGTCTATAATAGCAAGATTTATAGATTTTAAGCGAAGAACTGAAAGGTGAATTTTAAAATTGAAAAAGCTAGCAATTGAGCCTAGGAAGTTTTGGCTTAGATATAAGAAAAATTACTTTGAGGAGTGCATTGAGATTTCATGAATTGATGGTTTCTAATTAATTTAAATAGCCAAGATAACAAGGTTTAATTAGAATGCAATTTTGTATCTCGATGGAGAGCATTAGTTACTTTAGGAAATCTCACCTTTCAAAAGAATAATCTTTTTAGTTACAATAATCATAATAAATTGATGTAGTGAAAAACCTAACCTATTAATATAAATTGGCGCTTATTTTTTATTTATTGTACCTAAAGGTTTGAGTATGGTTAGTTTCAAATCTTTAATCATCTAGATAATTAAAATCACAATAGTTTGGTATTCAAAACCAATCCTCGTGGTAAGATACGCTACTCACTCTTTATTATCTGTTAATGATTCGTACACATGCAGTTTTCGCACAAGAGCAATGGATAGCAAAACAATGCTTAAAATAACATGACACCAATTAACTGTTTCAGAACTTCCTAACAATCAAAAAAGATAAAAGAAAAAGATCACTAAATTGATAGAAACCTGATAAGCAGTTGTATAGAGAGCTTTTGCTGTGGCTGAATTTGTGGTATAGATGTTTTGCGGTGACCCCAAATTATGCCACTGTGGCTGCAATTGAAAACTAGAATTCTCACTTGAGGAGAAAGAAGATGCAAATGATGGAGCTTTCCTTCCACGGTCATCCACTAGGATAAAATGTTGAATCCAGAATCTTCCACAAGTATAGCAAAAGTATCTAATTTTGACCGAATCAGACTGCCAAGACTCGTACCAGCAGAAATTTATTTCCCGTGACCCACAGAAAGAACATTTTTCCTTCACCTGCTGCAGCTGCACCACCTGCATTTTATTTACATCCATTGCCTTCAGCCTCCAATTTTGGTTATTACCAAAGAGAATTTAAAAGAGAACATCAAAGTTGACAATCTAAAATTTTGACACTACTTAGATTGCTCAGACCTCTTTATTGCAAAACAGCCACTCGACCAATGGCTACCACCAATCAGATTAGCAATCCAAAGGACAGACTTTAAATTTTCATGAAATTTCAGGAAGGGAGTGAATAAAATAAATTTTGGAAATCTTTAGCATCAATGTCAATTTCTTACTGGATATATCTTTATCATCTTCACTGGTGATACAATATAGAAATGCAGAACAAACAGAAGAAGATATAAAGGTGGGATTGTTATTGATGGTAAGTACCTCCAAATCCCTGTCCCTCTCTCTCTCTATCTCTCTCTCTCTCACACACATCTCATATGCCCAAAATTGCAGAGTTTTAAAAATAAAGCTTTTTAATCTTTTCTCATCTCTAATAAAGTTTTCCTCCTCCAATCACTCTTGAACTGTGTTAATCAAGCAATGCATTTGAAGCAATACAAATTAAACTAAGAATTAGATTACATGGATATAGGTGTTAATCAAGCAATGCATTTGAAGCAATACAAATTAAACTAAGAATTAGATTACATGGATATAGGTTGACTAATTGTGTGATTATAAATTCTTAAGCATTTATAGTTTACTTGCTTTATAAATTTAAGCTATGGAAGCAAAAACAACTAATAAAAACAGTAACTTGTCTATTACAAATGAAGAGAGAGAAGAAATGAAGAAGAATAAACTGCAGAAAACCTTATTTTTATTAGTTTCCAGATCATCTACTTTTTCTATGGTTGCATTCAATTCATGAAAATAAGGCTTGTGAAAAAGCATAAACACACACAAAACCCAAAAACTAACATATCAAATGGACATGCAAATGATCAAATGGACATGCAAATGAGGAACCATATTTATCATTTTGGAAAGAAAATTATTGCATTGTAGCCAATCTAATCCCCAGTAGCTTTTTATCTTTTCTTTAAATCAGGAGTAATGGATAGCAGAATAATGCATGACATAACATAACATAACACAACAGCAATTTACTATTATAGAACTTTCTCAACAATCAAAAGGATAAAAGAAAAGGAGATCACTGAATTGATAGAAACCTGATTAGCAGTTGTCTGGGGAGCTTCTGCTGTGGCTGAACTTAGAGCAGAGATGTGATTATGTAATGACCCCAAATTATGAGACTCTGGCTGCGATTGTGACCTAGAATTCTCATTTGAGGAAAAAGAAGGTGCAGATGATTGTGCTTTCACTCCACAATCATCCTCTAGGGTTAAACCTAGAAACCAGCATATTCTACATTTATTGCAAGAGTATCTAAGTTTGACAGCAAGATCCCAAGATTCAAAAAAATGAAAGACTGTTTCCAGATCCCCACAGAGAGTGCATTTTTCCTTCACCTGCACTTGATTTGCAACCCTCAGGTACAGCCTCAGATTTTAATTCTTACCGGAGAGAGAATTTTAAAAGAGAAGATCAATGTCGAGAATGGAAAAATTCGACACAGAAAATTCCAACATATATACACCTCAGTCTGCTATTCGTGTATTATTTTTTTTTTTTTTTTTTTTTTTTTTTTAAAAAGTAAAATGAGAAGAAATATCTTCTATCTAAACAAAAAATGAAACAATTGAGATACATATTTGCATAAGAATGATCTAACAATTAGAAAAACTAATAATTCATCATTCATTAGCTTCTTGTAAACCAAACACATCAAAACCTAAAATTCAAAAATTAGCAAAGCAAGATCAAAAACAAAAGAAATATAATTTGAAAAAGAAAAACAAGGAGAAACTGCACAATTAATAGTCTAAAACAAAAGAAATATAAAAAGTTTAGTAGTTCTTTTATACCTCTACCAGAAAAGGATCTGCACTTTTAGCATGTTGTGGGAAATAGGCAGCGGGGTTGGCACTAGCAGAATTCCTGGAGTTTGCCCCTTGTCCTGATACAAATTAAGAATGTTTAAGGAACCAAAGATTTGTCTGGAAACTATTCCAGCAATTAATCAAGTTCTGTACTAAACAAAGGATAGAACCTTGTGGTTTGGTTTCTTCAGCCATTAATGAATGACCAGACTTCATAAGTTCAGCCATTTCACCAAATCTACCTGGTGATTCTGGTTCTCACTCAGCCTGCATACGACCAAAAGGTTGACAAAAGGCAATATTATATAAGATCACTTCAAGAAATCCATAACATGAAAATTGTTGATTTATTGCAGTACTTAGATTACTTAGACCTCTTGTATTACAAACCAGGCAATCGACCAATGGCTACCACCGATTAGATTAGCAATCCGAAGGACAGACTTTAAATTTTCATGAAATTTCAATACTGAAGAGAGTGGATAAAATAAATTGTGGAAACATTTAGCATTCGATTTGAATTTCTTGATGGGGTTTCCATATCATCTTCCCTGGTAATCAAGTTCTCTCTCTCTCTCTCTCTCTCTCTCTCTCTCTTCTCCTCTCTCTCTCTCTCTCAATCATCTCAAATGCCCAATTATGCTGAGCTAAAAAATAAAGCAGTCATCTTTCTCATCTCTAATAATATTTCCACCTCCAATCGCACATTGAATTGTTGTTAATCAGCAATTGCATTTTGATTGCAATACAAAGTTTAAAACTAAGAATGTGATTAACATGGAACACTTGAATTGTGTTAATCAAGCAATGCATTTGATGCAATACAAAGTAAACTAAGAATTAGATTACATGGATATAGGGTGACTAATTGCATGATCACAAATTATTAAGCATTTATAATTTACTTGCTTTATAAATTTAAGCTATAGAAGCAGAAGCAACTAATAAAAACAGCAAATTGAAGAGGAATAACCCGCAGAAAACCCTAAATTTTATGCGTTCAAGAAAACAATATAATTTTTCTTTGGTTGCATGTATATATGTGTGTGTTATGTATGTGTGTGTGAAAAAAAGAAAAACAAAATAGGAACTCTATGCTGGAAAATAAAAATTAAAATGAAAACTACAGTCTATGCGACTGGAACCACAACAAGGGAATGAAAATATGGAAGTGAACAGATGAGTAAAGGGAAGTGTTTGTGAGACTGAGTGCCAACTGGTGCCAGATTGAGAACTGAGAAGAAATGAGAAGACCTGACTAACAAAGTGATTTAGAATTTCTAATATATTATTCATCCACACGCATAAATTATAGTCTTCATTTAATAAATCGATTAAGTATTAACAATAAAACTAGTGCATCAAATTCAATCCTCTACTATCCAAACACAACCCAAAAGCTAATGAATCCAATGAACGTGCAAATGGGGACGATATTTATACGTGTTGGCGCGAAAATTATTGAAGCATAACTAATTTAACCCCCAGTAACTTTTCATCTTTTCTCTAAATCAGAAGTAATGGATAGCAGAGCTTAATGTAACATAACACAACAGCAATTTACTGTTTCAGAATCAGAACTTTCTCAACAGTTAAAAGGATAAAGTAAAAGAGATCACTGAATTGATAGTAACCTGATAAGCACTTCTATAGGGAACTTTTGCTGTGGCTGAATTTGTAGTGATGATGTTTTGTAATGACCCCAAATTATGCGACTGCGATTGCGATTGAAACCTAGAATTCTCTGCTATTAGTAATTCAACCAAGCTTAAAATATAATATTAAAAAGTTAGAGAAAAATGAGATGGCTCATGTCAATTCCTTCATTGCTAAGGAGCCAAAGTCCAAGTTTCAGTTCAAAAGGAAAGAAAAAGTCCAACTCAAATGATAAAAAATTCGGCAATATATATATGAGCAGTGATACCTGCGATGCGTTCCAAGGCACGAGACATTTTTTATATTAAAGGTGGGCCACCGTAGAGTTCAAGTTGAATACTACGTATAAGAAATAAGGATAGTAGGTGTAATTGGTTCTTTAATGGAGGTTAAAAGAAGCAAATTACTAAATATTTGAAATTTTGGACCCAAACCCACTTGGAGGTCTAGCGATTCTAATCCCTAATCGGAAAAGAGCAAGATACAAAGAATGAACAATGGCTGTAATGATGATGTAGCACACGCAGAATAAAATTAGAATGGGAAGGAGGAGTTGTAGAAGCGGGAAATTAAGGGAAACAAAAATGGTAAAAGAGAAGCAGTTAAGGGAGAAGAGGAAGCAAACAAAAATGGAGGGGAGGAACTGTTGAAGCATGAAATCGACTTGTTTTTCCGCTGTCCGATCGACCGCCGACCGCCGACTGCACCTTACCCTTTCAATTACTTGGTTTTCCCCGGCCTTCATCACCACTCCTTCACCTGTATCCCAAATGGGTTGCATTTCCCCATCTTTCCAAGCCATGTCCTTTTCTCACTTCTACAGATTATATTTATGCTTTTCTCCTTTTGATGAGTGAAATAATAAGGGGCGAGCATTCGGCTCCGGACATTCGATTGACTCTTTATGGCAATCAGAGGTGAATTTTCGGTTGTTAAAATGTTCAGGTAAAAATTAATCGAATTAACATTTCCTCCAAATTTTTTATTAAGTAAATAATAAAATTAAAATATTTTTATTTTTATTTTGATTAACCGGTCATTAGTAATTTCAGTCTAATTATGTGATTAATAATCAAAATTTATTTAGCAGTTAATTTAATTTTTTTTTTCTTAATTTAATTTTTATAAAAATATTTACATATACTTAGTTTACAATTTCTTTTAATTTTTCAATATGATACTTTAAATATCCTAAAAATCATATATTAAAATTTTTAAAATAAAATGTATAGTTAATATATCAAGTTCTCAAAATTAATAATATTAACCTTTTTTCCACTATCTAATAAGTTCAAGTAATATTAATTATTTATACAAATTATCATATGAGGGTTGAAAAGTGAAATTTTCCGAAATTATAAAACAGAATATTATTTTGAGAAAGAAAAAAAAAAACTGGGACTGCGATTTTGAAACTCAAGGAATAATACTTACGAACATACATAGGACGTTATAACTCGTTATTGATTTTTTATATTTTTAAACATGGTTTACTACATTTTTTAATTAAAAATGATAAAGGTAATCATGGGTAATTATGAAAAAGATAAATCTTTTACAAGGAAAAAATTATTAAAAAAGTAATTATTTTTCTATCATAATTATTAAAGTAATCATAATGTTTTTTTTTTTTTTTTTACGTAACATTTTTTAATGTAAAAATGATAAAGTAAATGCATGGGGTGGAGAGTTATGAAAAGGAGAATAAATCTTTTAAGCAAGGAAAAAATATTAAAAAAGTAATTATGGTTCTAATCATAATTATGTAAAGTAATCATAATGTTTTTTTTTTGTTTTTTTGTAATATGTGCCGGTTTGATAGTAAATTAATTTCTTCCATATCTTTTTTTTTTTCACAAAAATTTGAAAATAAAAAATAAGAATAAGAAAGATTAATTAGCAAGAGGTTTGATGTTTAAAACTTTTAAAAATTTTTCTATTTTTTATTCGTTTGTTTTCGTAAAATAACTTGCTGAAAAATATTGGTTTTATGTGAAAATTTTTTGGTTGGGTCAAAAAATGACTTAATTTTCGTTGTTTGGTTGAGGTAATATTAGGAGGGAAATTAGTTTAAAAATATTAAATAAAAATAGGAATACGAGAAGATGAAAAAGAATATAAATTAATGAAAGCCGGTGGTGGTGGTCGAGTTGGTAAATGGTGACTGGTGGTAGTGTGATACGGAATGATGTAATAAAAAATAAAATAAAAATATATATGGATATAATAAGATTTGCCAATAATCTAGAAATATTTTACTCTCTCAAAAAATAAAAATTATTTTTCTTAAAAATATGACTTTTATTTTTTCTGAACGCCCCAAAGAACGAAAAATTGTAAAATATTTTCCTGTAAATTATTTTACAGAAACAACGAAAGTTCTTTGTATCTCAAACAAAAATATTTACAATCAAGTTTTTAAAAATTCAAAAAGATTTTTAATAAATTGGGTCTCCTGACTTTACATACCAATCGAAATTACAAATAGGGATCGGAGGTGTTATAACCACCCATATATATTTTGAATAAACCTAGAAAAAAAAAATGTCTTAAAATTTCAACTAATGAATTTGGCAATCTCCTGGTGTGAGTTTAATGAAAAAATTGAATTTAACTAAACATGGCATTGCAATTTAATGCCATATTCTATGAGATTATGAAGGTTTATATATTATGGAAAATTAAGGGTTTAATATCAAACAAAATTGGAAGAGGAGAATTAAGATGAGAACCTAATTCTCCTTCTTCATTGGAAAAACAGGAATGCATACTGAAAATCAAACCGATTAACGAAGTTCCTATTGATATATAAAACGCACGGCAGTTTGCATGTAGAAAATTTCACATTCAAAGGAAAGCTTGGAATATCGCCGTCAATATGATTTGAATTTTTTAATAAAGCAGACGGGCCAATGGATAGCATCAATTAAGCGGAGCTTGGTATCCGCTCAAATACGCAACGGCAGAAAAACCGGGGAGTGGCCGATAGGGGCGGTAGCCCCGCTGGCTCAAGTTGTTTATATGTATTGAGAAAAAATGGATCAATGTGTAATATAGCTCGGTGAAAAAATCTCTTAATGGTTGTACTTACAACCAAGTGCCTTAAAAATTTGGTAAATGTTTAAATATAAAAAATATTATTTGGAATCAATTTTAATCCAAATCAAATCCACCTACAAGTGCAAAATAAAGGTATGTTAAAAACTAAATTTATCCTTTCATCAATTTGAAGGAATGTTTGGAGAGAAATAATGCATTATATGGAGAATTGGAAAATTGTAGCATTAATGCTTCATTATCTCTAAACTTACTTTGTAAAACGTGGGTTATTTAATGAGCTCTTCAAATCTCAGGTTGACCTTTTATTGGATAAAAAGGTAAAAGCATGGCAGGTGCACAATTGTGGTTTTGATGGTTTGTCGTTTCAAGCGAATTTCTATTTTTCCTTTTAGCTATTTTATTGAAAAATAAAATATTTTAAATTATTACACACAAGTCTCACAAATCACCGAAATATAATCAAAAAGACAGTAACAATATAGGCAGATATAATTAGAAATATATAATTATTCTAATTTGAACTAAGCACTTTAAATAAATT